ATGCCTGTCAAGTATACACCAAGATCTTAGACCTCCTGAACAAAACTCAACCAGTCATGAACCAGCATCTGAATTCTTTTATTCTGATCTATTTTTTTTCTACCAAACTTGTGTGAGTTTCTTCCAAGAGAATGTTGAAGTGGATAGTTAGTTCCCATGTATAAAACTTTTGGCATTATATAAAGGAAGCTTGTTTAGTGTGTTAGAAGGCCCGAAATGTTAGTTAGACTTGAAACTACCATTAGGTAGACATTCTGAAATGCCCAAAACTCTTGCGTGAGAGGCTTGCTACACCTTAAGGCCTGTTCTTTAAACAAGAAGGCCAAAAGTACTTGGTAGACTTGAATTTGATATTGGGCCTTTTTCAGACCTTCTGAAAGGCCAAAACTTTGATACGGTTCCTCAAATGTGAGAGTTTGCAACAGCATCTGGCAATAGAACTAAGGTTGAGTAGCGCCTATCACCCATAGACAGATGGTCAAACTGAACGAACCAATCAAACCTTGGAAGATATGTTCAGAATGTGTGTGTTAGATTTCCAAGGAAGTTGGGAAACATACTTGCCATTAGCTGAGTTTGTGTATAACAGCAGCTACCATTCAAGCATTGGGATGGCTCCTTACGAAGCTTTGTATGGAAGAAAATGCCAATCTCCGAAATGTTGGGGCGAAGTAAGCGATAGACCATTGTTGGGACCGGAACTTGTGCAAGAAACCACTGAAAATGCAAAATTGATTCAGCAAAGGTTGAAAACTGCACAAAGCTGCCAAAAGAGCTATGCTGATGTTCGAAGAAGGGACAGAGAATATGAAGTTAGAGATCACGTGTTCATAAAAGTGACTTCGATGAAAGGACAAACGCAATTTGGTGTTAAAGGCAAACTAGCATCGAGATATGTTAGGCCATATGAAGTTCTAGAGAAAATCAATCTGGTAACATATCGAGTGGCCTTACCTCCAGTAATGGAGCATATGCACAACGTTTTTCATGTCTCTATGCTTCAGGAGTATTTGAGAGATCCGCTACATGTGGTTGAGCCAACTCACGTGCTTTTGAAAGATGATTATACATACGAAGAGTGGCCAATTCAAATTGTCAACCAACGAATCAAAAGACTAAGGAATAAAGAAATCCCATTAGTGAAGGTTGATTGGCAGAATCATGGGAGAACTTATGCAACCTGGGAAACGGAAGAAGACATGATGAAAAGTTATCCTAAGTTGTTCCCTTCAGATCCGGTGTTCCTCTAAAATGAAGGTAATTCGAGTTTAGAGGACCAAACTCTTTAAGGGGGGAAGACTGTAACAACCCCGACCCATGATTAACGCTAATTCACATTAAGTATGCTAAATAAATAATTAAGAAAAAAAATCCTGAGTCAATTACATGTGCATTACATCATTTTGTGTTTATATCTATTTGATGTAGAATAATCTATTCATGTTTTGTTTTCGATTTGCGAATTGAAGGCCCTATCGGCATCCGATTCAGAAATTGACTCGATTTATGTGTTATTTAGAATTTTTAGAACCTTATGGTAGGTTTAATTAAAATTCGATTTGAAACGATGAAATTAGATTAAGTTAATGCCCACTTATTTAACCTTAATTAATTGCACTATTACCCAAGCCACATTAAGGCATTAGTGGACTTCTATATGCACTCATACATTCCCTCAATTCACTCTTTTGGGGAGCTACAAATGTGAGGAAGGGAGAGAGAGACTAAGAGTGAGGGTGAGTTCAACAAGGGAGAAAGGGGGATTTACTAGGAATTGTTGGCATTTGAAGAGAATTCAAGTCTCTAGGTAAGGAATCAAACTCTTAATTGTGTAATCGAGTTAGACTCCACAAGACTTCAAATGAAATAGGTGAATTCATGGGAGAATTGAGCAAGAATTTAAGGAAGCTAAGTCAATCCATGCATGTATGTCCATATCATGGAGTTTGAAGTTGTTTTCATGAGAATTCTCGCATGCATGTTCATATTATGGTTGTACTCTAAGAATTCAACATGTTTTTGAGTTGATTATGGCTTTTGATCATGTTTTGAGAAGCTTAAGATCAAGAAAATTCATGCATGTTATTTTTTTGAATCATTCCTAAAGTTTAAGTTGAAATTGTGTACAATTAACATGCTTTTGGGCCATGATTTCTTGAAATGATCCTTTAAACATGTGTGTTTTATGAGTTTTTAAGTGTTTTCCAAAATTTTGGCCCAAAAGGATGAGTTTTGAAGTGTTTGGTTTGAGTTTGAAGCTTGGAGATCAAATCTGGAAATTCTAGATTTTGCATTCACGCTCGAACGAGCACTCTGAGTGCGTGCACTTCTGCTCGAGCGACCTGAAGCTCGCTCGAGCGTGAAATGCATGTATCTAGAAGTTCATATGTTTTGTAGCATGCTCGAGTGACAGAAGTCACGCTTGAGTGAGGGTTTGAGTCTTACGCTCGAGCGTGAATCGAGCGTCCGTCGAGTGTGAAAATCAAGCAACCAGTACTTTTGTCAAAGTTTACAGTCTGCTCGAGCGAACCTTCACATTTTACATGTCCGCTCGAGCGAGGGAATCCATGCTCGAGCGTGGACCCTGTTTTCAGCAAGGTTTGAAAAATGTCTTTAAGTGCATTTTTGCATCTTCATTCCATCATAGGCATTCCTAGGCCATGATTAAAACTCCATAATGAGGTTAAAGGCTAGAAACACACTAAGAACAATGAAATAAGTTATGTACAATCGAGCGTGTGTTTCAATGTATGAATCTGCCATATTATGTAGGTCACGCGTCTCTAGATAAGTGAATTGCCCACTTTGCCATCTATTTGGAGCTACCAATTATCTGTGAGTAATAACTCTGTAAAGTTATGTTTAACTTTAATTATTTTCTGATGATATGAAATGATCGATTTTTGAAATGCTACGTTTTGTATGAATGAATGATTGTCCCACTTTCTTAAAATGTAATTATGGTATCCTTAGCAGAGGCCCTCACCCAAGGGACATAATACTGTGGCTTATGGTCATGAGGCCCTAGCCCGGGGGATAATATCGTGGCCCAGGCCCTCGCCTGGGGGAAACAATACCATGGTCTAGGCCCTCGCCTGGGGAAAACAATACCGTGGCACAGGCCCTAGCCCGGAGGAAACAATATCGTGGCCAGTGTATGAGATATGTTACCCGGCACCGAAGGTTCCTTCATGGAACTTGATATGCTTGACCAAAGAGACATGTTGTGCTAATGGATGTACCACACATGATTTGATTATGGACAAGATTATGATTCTGTTCCGTTATGTGATTATGATTCTGATTTACTATGAGACTTGAAATATGTTATGAGCGTCATTCATTAAAGTCTTTACTCTGTTATTATTCACTGGGATGTAGCTCACTATTTATATTATGTATGTAGGTGAGCATGCACGTGACCAGGCCCAGAGTTGACGGCCTATGTTTAAGTTTTTGTCAGCCAACCTTTGTGCCTCCCGAGAGGGTTCCGAATGAAGTCAAGATTTGTGGTTGTTTTTGTGTAATCATGTTAGACTTTGTTTGTTGTTAAGTTTTTGGACAAGATTTCTGTTAGTACACCACTATGAGTGATATGTGAAGGTTATATTTCTCAACATCACTCATAAGTTAATTAAAGTTATAAATGATGCGTATCATGTATGTCTTCACGACTCAATGGACTATATATATTTTGTATATTTGCTTCCACAGCCCCTAACTTTATGTTAATCTGTCAAGAGGCCTTTGGTAATCCAAGGATTGCTGGCCGGTTATGATACTAAAGCCATGGGGCCGGGTTTGGGTCATGACAGGAGTAGCAAATGTAATTCTGGGAATAAAAATTACTAGAGCAACTGAAGGATATGCTTTATCTCAGTCTCCCTATGTTGAGATGGAAAAATATAGAAAGCATGACAACTGTCCTATTAAAACACTTGTTGACATTAGTCTTCATTTCTCAAAAAATATAGGTGCATGCATATCACAATTATAGTACTCTCGGATAATAGGAAGCTCGATGTACTAAATGAATTGCATTAGGCTAGATATAGCCTATGCTGTAAGCAAATTGAGTAGGTACACAAGTGATCCAAAATCCAATCGTTGGAAAGCAATAATTAGGGTACTTAGGTATCTACGACATACCCAGAATTATGGATTACATTATACCAAATATCCAGCAGTACTCGAGGGGTACAACGATACAAATTGAATATCGAATACTAAAGACTCAAAATCCACTAGTGGATACTTCTTTACCTTGGGAGGTGCTGCAATCTCTTGGAAATCCTTTAAGCAGACTGTAGACGCGCCCGCGTGGGCCTCACTACAGTTCGGACTTGATTTGTGTCACGGTTCTTAATCTGAACCAAAGAGTCCAAATCTGGTAAATCGTTTTGAGAAACAGATTTTTGAAAAGAAGTGCCAAACATGGACTGCTTTGCCAGATACAGAGTCGCCACCTAAATATTTTATTTTGGGGGAATTTAGGAAACCCTGACTCGGTGCCAAAGGCCATGTGTCTGTCATCACCAAAGTTGCCTCGGCTCGACAACTTGGGTATGATTGGAGAAGGTCAGCTATGAGCACCCCCTCTCGCCAGATCCAATGATTGGCCTCTACTAATCATGATATCTTGTTTTGAAAACATTACGTGTTCCTATTCCGGTTATTATATGACATTTTTCGGGCTTGGGTCAGGTGGCGGGTGATCCGCCATTTGAGTCGCCAGACCCGACCCGACCACCCCTTGGCTATTTTTTTATTTATTTTTGGCTGATTCCTCATTTTCCCCCCTTTTCCTTTCTGATATGCATTCATCGGCCTCCCTCTTGTCATTTTGCCCTAATTTTCGATAGAGACAGACATTCTCATTCTCTCATTCTCTCTCTCTCTCTCTCTCTCTCTTTACCCTAGCTACCCATCATCGGACGATCTACACTACACGGCGTCGGCGATCATCTACACAGCGTCGGCGATCGATACACTACTGACTGAGGTATCTCTCTTTCTCTCTCTGCTTTCCTCTTCTTCTCTTTCTTCTCTTCTTCTGATCTGAGTCTAATCTTTTTTTTTTTTTTCCAGTTCTGAAACGAAATAGATGGTTAGATTGATCGATATACAGTCTAGTCTACTACACTGACTGTAACTGAGGTACCTCTCTCTCTCTCTCTCTCCTTCTTCTTCTTCTTTTTCATCTTAACTGGTTTTTTTTTTTTGGTTCTAGTTCTAAACTTCTAATCTTTTAGATTCTAATCTATTATTATTATTTTGTTTTGTTCCAGTTCTAAAACTACACACAGAGAAAGGAATACAGAGAGAACCACCGAGAGGTTTGGTTTATTTTTTTGAACAATCTGTTTTGTTAATCAGCCTTTTATTTTATTCTTACAAAGACCATCACTTTTGCAGCTCTTATCAGTATTATAGCATTTCTCATCCTTTAATTTCATGATTACTGCCATTTTACTGTCATCTTCATGCCATTGCATTTATTTCTTACCATGGAAAATTATTGCATGACATTATGATAGTACTAGAATATAAAAATCTGACTGCAATTCTTAAGGAATTTCTCTAATCGCTTCATGCTCGACTCACCATACATGTCAACGATTGATTCATGGAGAAGGGGACAAGATAGGGCTATTTTATTCCGAGATAAATTATCCCATGTTTGGTTTAGATTTTGTGACCTCGAGTAACTTATTTGAGGGCCCTTCTATATCCAGCATATGTGGGAGGTGGAACAACTTATCTCAGGATTAAGTCTTTTGTCACAAAATAACTAAAACATCCTCATTGGGATAAGTTAAGGTATCTGGCCTAATCCTTTTTGCATACATAGCCCTATAGATTGAAAGTAATTTGGAACTTAGTTCCACAATTGGCAAGATCTTCAATACTTTTTTCAGTTTTACGGTTTAAGTTGTGCACACATTTTCTAATATTTGTTGTTTGAATAAAAGTTTCGTTGTATAGTAAAGTCTGATATTTGTTTTGTTTGTTGGCTTCTTTGAAACAAATGTTTATCATTTTTATTTTTAATTTGTGGTTGCAATTTGGATGGGTTCAACTTTCAAGTCCATGCCATCTTTCTCAACATCTATTCTTGTATTGAAGTTTCTAGACTTGTGGCTTGGTTTGATAGAACCCCTAACCTGGCCAAAAGTTTGGGTTGGCCTTTGATGGGGCATAAGCAATCGCCATTTGGTACTTGTAAATTTTTTATGTTTCAATTTTCAATAAGACATTCAACGTTCATGGCTTTGGAAGTTAATTGTAAGCTTGTATACTTTACATGTTGAATCACAGTTAACAGTTCACGCATAGTATGTTCATTACTCATGTTATATTTTAAGTAGATCTTTGTAATATATTACGGTCATTGTCTTAGTTTTCCTTAAATAACTTTAGGAAAAAGCTTTTAAGAACATATTGAAAGATATGTGCACATTGGATATGCATCGGTGACAAAATAATTAGATGTTGGTTTGAATGCTTGATGTCCTTTTGGTGGGCTAAGTAGCTTTGTTGACAATGAATGAGTCTTAGGCTGGGACGAGTCTAGAATTTTATTTTTGTGGTGGCAAGAACATGTTTATAAAAAAAATTACAACTAATAATACAAGCTATATTTATTAGACCAAAATAAAAATAGCAAGGACATTTCTAGCAATAGAAAGAAAAAAAATTGAAGCAACGACATTTAAAAAAAAAATTCCAATTTATGTAATAGGAACTAGACGGATGCCGAATTCTAAGGCCTATGTTTTTTGGAGAAGGGGCGGGCAGATATACTATTTATGACAAATGCGTGGTTTGATAGTAGATGAAGCTATTGATGATCAAATCATGTTCAGAAGGGAGAGAACCGAAAAACTGAAGCAATAAAAACACAGGTTTATGTGACAGCGAATTCAAAGCCCCAAGTTCAGAAGGGGTAAGTATTCGAAGCCCAAATAAAACTAAACTATTGATGATTGGATTACTCAAAAATGGAGAGAGACTCATTCTCTCCTATGAATTAGAGATAGAACACGAGGGATGTGGATGTCAGATGTGGTGTGTGAATGAAAGAGCCAAAGAGGAGAGGCTTTTTTGTGAGCCCATGTGGTTCCTTGTTGTGTTAGTTTTTTTTCCCTTTTTATTTAAAATCCCCTAGAAGTAATGCAGGCAAAATGAAGTGAAAGAGACACAATGAAAGACTGAAAAAGGAAAATAAAATAAAATAAAACTAATAATACAAGCTATATTTATTAGACCAAAATAAAAATAGCAAGGACATTTCTAGAAATAGAAAGAAAAAAAATTGAAAGTTTATATATCATTAAAAATAGAATTCAAAGTTTTGATTTACTTTACTTCTCTTACATTTTCTTACCTACCAAACAGAGTATATCGCTAATACCCAAACTTTGGTCTTATTGCAACTTTTTTTTTTTTAGAGAGAGAGAGAGTGAGTTAATTGAATCAAAAGCTATTCATTCCAATAATATTACAATTGTGGTTTTTTTTTTATATTAGGTATTATCAGATTAATAAAATACATGAATAGGGAGGGAGACTAATTAAATCAGTAATAAGATGATAAATAAATTAATGAAAAAATATAATTATCATAACATTATTTGCACCCTTATATGCATATCTTGGATAACTTTATCATCATTTGATAATTACATATATGTCCATTATTCCAAATTACAGACTTAAACTTGGATGCCAAAATGCATCATTGAAAACATTGCATCTGTTGACTTTATATATCATTACTTCAGTAGGATGCGAATAATCTTAATTATTGTTCTATATTGTGATCAAAATGGTGAATATGTGTAATGTGAGTCCTAGTTTAAACTCTGTCCTAATTTATGATGTATACCTTAAAATGAAAGTTATATTTTTGTGAGTCCTAGTTTAAACTCTGTCTATTTAACTTTGTCCATTTAATACAAAAAAAGAGAGCATGGATTTAAACTCTGTCCATTTAACTCTGTCCAGTGAACATAAACTCTGTCCATTTAATATCCTTCTTAGTTTAAACTAATCTCTTAGTTTTTCAAAAAGAGCATGGATTTGAAAAGCATATTTTGAATGATTTTTTATTGGTTGTTGGCAGTTTATTTGATAATCTTTTGGCCATGGATTCGCCAAGTGAAGAAACTTTTTTTGTGAGTCCTAGTGTTGAGCCCGAATCATCTTCTATTGACCCATCTACCCAATCTAATGCTCCCCCTCGTAGACCACCCTTGGCCAAAACTAGTAGTAGTGGGAGAATAACATCAAAGACTTGGGATCATTTTGAAAAGATTAAGGGCATTGATGGGAAAGATAGGGCTATGTGCAAGTATTGTAAGAAAGAATATATGGCAGGCTCTAAGAGTCATGGAACAAGTAATTTGTTAAGTCATTTGAAAAATTGTACAAAGTACCCATATAGGGATACTCATGGGCAACAATCATTGGGATTTAAACCCAGAGAAGTTGGTGGGGAGGATGTTGTTGATGTTGTGGCTACGTCATTTTCTATAGAAGTTGCTAGAAGGCATCTTGCGGAGATGATAGTAATAGATGAATTGCCCTTTAGATTTGTGGACGGGGTTGGTTTTAAGAGGTTTTGTAATGTCATGCAACCCAAGTTCAAGATTCCATCTCGATATACCGTTGCTAGGGACATTCTAGACATATACACCAATGAAAGGGAGAGGTTAAAACGAGACTTTTCTTCAAGAACACACGAATACTAATTTTTCTCTCCCAAAACCAACTTCAAATCGATGCATGACATGCAAAACAGATTCGATCATGCAATGTAGCTAGATGATCGATAAGAACAACAATAGTAGGTTAAGATTCTAACCTCAAAACTCGAATCCAACGGTTCAAACCTCAAAGATCAAGCTTGGTAGATCTATTCTCACTCAAGAACTTCTCCTCCTTTCTCTAGAGCTTCTCTCTCTAAAGGCAAAGATTTGAGACAAAAATGATTTGTTTCTAGGCCTACCGGCTGTCTTAACAATCAGCTCGGACATATGGCGCTATCGGGTTGGCTCAACTCAAAAGGTGATTGATTGATAAGACAAGTCTATGACAAAGCGTATGCAACAAGCTAGGGCAAGACACATCGGCAAATAATGACATCGGCTAAGGTAAAAGCTCGGCAACAGGGTAACAAAGACATCGGCTAGGGAGGACGACACTTGACTAAGCTGTGCCACACCTTGGCCGGGGTGCGCCACACCTCGGTCTAGGCCATACCTGCCCAAGGACAAGGATCACTAAGTGCGAAACATCTCGGCAATCAAAGCCCGAGGTGAAGATGGGGTCGACCAAGGGGTTCCAAACAATTCTAAGTACAAAGGTTCAGAGGTGAATTAAGCTCAAGATGACCTCGGCCACACACCAAGCAAGGAACAAAATCATGCAAGCTATACTTAAACAAAACACGGCAAGGCAAAACTTGCAAAGCAACATAACAAGACAAGATCATGCATGAATGTATGCAAGCCTGACAAGAGTAAGGTGAGGGTTGCTACAGTTAAGGTATAGTGGTTTCTTGAATGAACTTCCATTTTTAATTTTCTGCAACTTCGATTTTTATTTTTATTCAACTTCTTTTTTTATTCAAGTTTCTTTTCTATTCAACTTCCTTTTTTTATTTAATTTCCAAATAGATTGTTAAGGTATAGTGGTTTCTGTATTGAACTTCCATTTTTAATTTTATGCAACTTTCATTTTTATTCTTATTCAACTTCCATTTTTATTCAATTTAGTTTTCTATTAAACTTCCTTTTTAATTTAATTTCCAAATAGATCGTTAAGGAATAGTGGTTTTTGAATGAACTTTCATTTTTAATTTTCTGCAACTTCCATTTTTATTTTTATTCAGCTTCCATATTTATTCAAGTTATTTTTCTGTTCAACTTCTGTTTTTATTTAATTTCCAAATAGATCGTTAAGGTGTAGTGGTTTCTTGAATGAACTTCCATTTTTAATTTTCTGCAACTTCCATTTTTATTTTAATTTAACTTCCTTTTTTCTTCAAGTTTCTTTTCTACTCAACTTCCTTTTTTATTTAATTTCCAAGTAGATCGTTACGGTATAGTGGTTTCTGGGTTGAACTTCCATTTTTAATTTAATGCAACTTCCATTTTTATTTTTATTCAACTTCTATTTTTATTCAAGTCACTTTTCTATTAAACTTTTTTTCTATTTAATTTCCAAATAGATCGTTAAGGTATGATGGTTTCTTGAATGAACTTCCATTTTTATTTTCATTTAACTTCCTTTTCTTTTCTTCTCAACTTCATTTTTTATTTAATTGTAAATAGATTGTTACGGAATAGTGGTTTCTAGATTGAACTTCCATTTTTAATTTTATGCAACTTTCCTTTTAATTTTTATTCAACTTCCATTTTTATTCAATTTACTTTTCTATCAAACTTCTTTTTTATTTAATTTCCAAATAGATCGTTGAGGTATAGTTGTTTCTTGCATGAACTTCCATTTTTAATTTTCTACAACTTCCATTTTTATTTTTATTCGACTTCCATTTTTATTCAAGTTATTTTTCTATTCAACTTCGTTTTTTACTTAATTTCCAAATAGATCGTTAAGGTATAGTGGTTTCTGCATTGAACTTCCATTTTTAATTTTCTGCAACTTCCATTTTTATTTTTATTTAACTTCCTTTTTTCTGCAAGTTTCTTTCCTACTCAACATCCTTTTTTATTTAATTTCCAAATAGATCGTTAAGGTATAGTTGTTTCGGGATTGAACTTCTATTTTTAATTTTATGCAACTTCCATTTTTATTTTTATTCCATTTCTATTTTTATTCAAGTTACTTTTCCATTAAACTTCTATTTTTATTTAATTTCCAAATAGATCGTTAAGGTATTGTGGTTATTTGAATGAACTTTCATTTTTAATTTTCTTCAACTTCCATTTTTATTTTTATTCAACTTCCATTTTTATTCAATTTGCATTCCTATTAAACTTCATTTTTTGTATAATTTCCAAATAGATCGTTAAGGTATAGTGGTTTCATGAATGAACTTGCATTTTTAATTTTATGCAACTTCCATTTTTATTTTTATTCAGTTTCCATTTTTATTCAAGTTATTTTTCTATTCAACTTCCTTTTTTATTTAATTTCCAAATAGATCGTTAAGGTATAGTGGTTTCTGGATTGAACTTCCATTTTTAATTTTATGCTACTTCCATTTATATTTTTATTCAACTTCTATTTTTATTCAAGTTACTTTTCTATTAAACTTCCTTTTTATTTAATTTCTAAATAGATCGTTAAGATATGGTGGTTTCTTGAATGAACTTCCATTTTTAATTTTCTACAACTTCAATTTTTATTTTTATTTAACTGCCTTTTTTTTCAAGTTTCTTTCCTTCTCAACTTCCTTTTTTATTTAATTTCCAAATAGATTGTTACGGTATAACGGCTTCTGGATTGAACTTCCATTTTTAATTTTATGCAACTTTCATTTTCATTTTTATTCATCTTCCATTTTTATTCAATTTACTTTTCTATTAAACTTCCTTTTTTAATTAATTTCCAAATAGATCATTAAGGTATAATGGTTTTGTTGAATAAACTTCCATTTTTATATTGCTGCAACTTTCATTTTTCTGTTTATTCAACTTCCATTTTTATTCAATTTACTTTTCTATTCAACTTCCTTTTTTATTTAAATTACAAATAGGTCGTTAAGGTATAGTGATTTCTTGAATGAATTTTCATTTTTAATTTTACGCAACTTCCATTTTTATTTTTAATTAACTTCCATTCTTATTCAAGTTACTTTTCTATTCAACTTCCTTTTTTATTTAATTTCCAAATAGGTCGTTAACGTATAGTGGTTTCTGCAATGAACTTCCATTTTTAATTTTATGCAACTTTCATTTTTATTTTTATAGAACTTCCATTTTTAATCAATTTACTTTTCTATTAAACATCCTTTTTTCTTAATTTCATAATAGATCGTTAAGGTATAGTGGTTTCTTGAATGAACTTCCATTCTTAATTTTCTGCAACTTCAATTTTTATTTTTATTCGACTTCCTTTTTTATTCAAGTTATTTTTCTATTCAACTTCATTTTTTATTTAATTTCCAAATTGATCGTTAAGGAATAGTGGTTTCTTTAATGAATTTCCATTTTGAATTTTCTGCAACATCCATTTTTATTTTTAAATAACTTCCATTCTTATTTAAGTTATTTTTCTATTCAACTACATTTTTTATTTAATTTCCAAATAGATCGTTAACGTATAGTGGTTTCTGCAATGAACTTCTATTTTTAATTTTATTCAACTTTCATTTTTATTCAATTTACTTTTCTATTCAACTTCCTTTTTTATTTAATTTCCAAATAGATCGTTAAGGTATAGTGGTTTCTTGAATGAACTTCCAATTTTAATTTTCTACAACTTCCATTTTTATTTTTATTCAACTTGTTTTTTTATTCAAGTTTCTTTTCTATTCAACCTACTTTTTTATTTAATTTCCAAATAGATCGTTAAGGTATAGTGGTTTCTGGATTGAACTTCCGTTTATAATATTATGCAACTTTCATTTTTATTTTTATTCAACTTCCATTTTTATTCAATTTGCTTTCATATTAAACTTCATTTTTTATATAATTTCCAAATAGATCGTTAAGGTATAGTGGTTTCATGAATGAACTTGCATTTTTAATTTTATGCAACTTCCATTTTTATTTTTATTCAGCTTCCATTTTTATTCAAGTTATTTTTCTATTCAACTTCCTTTTTTATTTAATTTCCAAATAGATCGTTAAGGTATAGTGGTTTCTGGATTGAACATCCATTTTTAATTTTATGCTACTTCCATTTTTATTTTTATTCAACTTCTATTTTTATTCAAGTTACTTTTCTATTAAACTTCTTTTTTATTTAATTTCTAAATATATCGTTAAGATATGGTGGTTTCTTGAATGAACTTCCATTTTTAATTTTCTGCAACTTCCATTTTTATTTTTATTTAACTGCCTGTTTTTTTCAAGTTTCTTTTCTTCTCAACTTCCTTTTTTATTTAATTTCCAAATAGATTGTTACGGTATAACGGTTTCGGGATTGAACTTCCATTTTTAATTTTTTGCAACTTTCATTTTCATTTTTATTCATCTTCCATTTTTATTCAATTTACTTTTCTATTAAATTTCCTTTTTTAATTAATTTCCAAATAGATCGTTAAGGTATAGTGGTTTCTTGAATAAACTTCCATTTTTATTTTGCTGCAACTTTCATTTTTCTGTTTATTTAACGTCCATTTTTATTCAATTTACTTTTCTATTCAACTTCCTTTTTTATTTGAATTCCAAATAGGTCGTTAAGGTATAGTGATTTCTTGAATGAATTTTCATTTTTAATTTTATGCAACTTCCATTTTTATTTTTAATTAACTTCCATTCTTATTCATATTACTTTTCTATTACACTTCCTTTTTTATTTAATTTCCAAATAGATCGTTAACGTATAGTGGTTTCTGCAATGAACTTCCATTTTTAATTTTATGCAACTTTCATTTTTATTTTTATACAATTTCCATTTTTAATCAATTTACTTTTCTATTAAACTTCCTTTTTTATTTAATTTCATAATAGATCGTTAAGGTATAGTGGTTTCTTGAATGAACTTCCATTCTTAATTTTCTGCAACTTCAATTTTTATTTTTATTCGACTTCCTTTTTTATTCAAGTTATTTTTCTATTCAACTTCATTTTTTATTTAATTTCCAAATTGATCGTTAAGGAATAGTGGTTTCTTTAATGAATTTCCATTTTGAATTTTCTGCAAATTCCATTTTTATTTTTAATTAACTTCCATTCTTATTTAAGTTACTTTTCTATTCAACTACCTTTTTTATTTAATTTCCAAATAGATCGTTAACGTATAGTGGTTTCTGCAACGAACTTCCATTTTTAATTTTATTCAACTTTCATTTTTATTTTTATTCAACTTTCATTTTTATTCAATTTACTTTTCTATTAAACTTCCTTTTTTATTTCATTTCCAAATAGGTCGTTAAGGTATCGTGGTTTCTTGAATGAACTACCATTTTTAATTTTCTGCAACTTTCACTTTTATTTTTATTCAACTTCCATTTTTATTCAATTTACTTTTCTATTCAACTTGCTTTTTAAATTTATTTGAAAATAGATTGTTAAGGTATAGTGGTTTCTTGAATAAACTTTCATTTTTAATTTTCTACAAGTTCCATTTTTATTTTTATTCAACTTCCTTTTTTATTCAAGTTTCTTTTCTATTTAACTTCCTTTTTTATTTAATTTCCAAATAGATTGTTAAGGTATAGTGGTTTCTGGATTGAATTCCATTTTTAATTTTATGCAACTTTCATTTTTCTTTTTATTCAACTTCCATTTTTATTCAATTTAGTTTTCTATTAAACTTCCTTTTTTATTTAATTTCCAAATAGATCGTTATGGTATAGTTGTTTCATGAATAAACTTCCGTTTTTAATTTTATGCAACTTCCATTTTTATTTTTATTTAACTTCCATTTTTATTCAAGTTATTTTTCTATTCAACTTCCTTTTTTAATTTATTTCCAAATAGATCGTTAAGGTATAGTGGTTTCTAATATGAACTTCCATTTTTAATTTTCTGCAACTTCGATTTTTATTTTTATTCAACTTCTTTTTTTATTCAAGTTTCTTTTCTATTCAACTTCCTTTTTTTATTTAATTTCCAAATAGATTGTTAAGGTATAGTGGTTTCTGGATTGAACTTCCATTTTTAATTTTATGCAACTTTCATTTTTCTTTTTATTCAACTTCCATTTTTATTCAATTTAGTTTTCTATTAAACTTCCTTTTTTATTTAATTTCCAAATAGATCGTTAAGGTATAGTGGTTTTTGAATGAACTTCAATTTTTAATTTTCTGCAACTTCCATTTTTATTTTTATTCAGCTTCCATATTTATTCAAGTTATTTTTCTGTTCAACTTCCGTTTTTGTTTAATTTCCAAATAGATCGTTAAGGTGTAGTGGTTTCTTGAATGAACTTCCATTTTTAATTTTCGGCAACTTCAATTTTTATTTTTATTTAACTTCTTTTTTTCTTCAAGTTTCTTTTCTGCTCAACTTCCTTTTTTATTTAATTTCCTAATAGATCGTTAAGGTATAGTGGTTTCTGGGTTGAACTTCCATTTTTAATTTAATGCAACTTCCATTTTTCTTTTTATTCAGCTTCTATTTTTATTAGAGTCACTTTTCTATTAAACTTCTTTTCTATTTAATTTCCAAATAGATCGCTAAGGTATGGTGGTTTCTTGAATGAACTTCCATTTTTATTTTTATTTAACTTCCTTTTCTTTTCAAGTTTCTTTTCTTCTCAACTTCCTTTTTTATTTAATTTTCGAATAGATTGTTACGGTATAGTGGTTTCTGGATTGAACTTCCATTTTTAATTTTAAGCAATTTTCCTTTTTATTTTTATTCAACTTCCATTTTTATTCAATTTACTTTTCTATCAGAATTCTTTTTTATTTAATTTCCGCATAGATCGTAAAGGTATAGTGGTTTCTTGCATGAACTTCCATTTTTAATTTTCTGCAACTTCCGTTTTTATTTTTATTCGACTTCCATTTTTATTCAAGTTATTTTTCTATTCAGCTTCCTTTTTTATTTAATTTCCAAATAGATCGTTAAGGTATAGTGGTTTCTGGATTGAATTTCCGTTTTTAATTTTCTGCAATTTCCATTTTTATTTTTATTTAACTTCCTTTTTTCTGCAAGTTTCTTTTCTACTCAACATCCTTTTTTATTTAATTTCCAAATAGATCGTTAAGGTATAGTGGTTTCTGGATTGAACTTCCAATTTTAATTTAGGGCAACATCCATTTTTATTTTTATTCCACTTCTATTTTTATTCAAGTTACTTTTCCATTAAACTTCCTTTTTTATTTAATTTCCAAAATAGATCGTTAAGGTATAGTGGTTTCTTGAATGAACTTCCATTTTTAATTTTCTGCAACTTCCATTTTTATTTTTATTCAACTTCTAGTTTTATTCAATTTTCTTTTCTATTAAACTTCGTTTTTTATTTAATTTCGAAATAGATCGTTAAGGTATAGTGGTTTTTTGAATGAACTTCCATTTTTAATTTTATGCAACTTCCATTTTTATTTTTCTTCGACTTCCATTTTTATTCAAGTTATTTTTCTGTTCAACTTCCTTTTTTATTTAATTTCCAAATAGATCGTTAAGGTATAGTGGTTTTTTTGAATGAACTTCCAATTTTAATTTTCTGCAACTTCCATTTTTATTTTTATTCAACTTGTTTTTTTATTCAAGTTTTTTTCTATTCAACCTACTTTTTTATTTAATTTCTAAATAGATCGTTAAGGTATAGTGGTTTCTGGATTGAACTTCCATTTATAATTTTATGCAACTTTCATATTTATTTTTTTTTCAACTTCCATTTTTATTCAATTTGCTTTCCTATTAAACTTCATTTTTTATTTAATTTCCAAATAGATCGTTAAGGTATAGTGGTTTCATGAATGAACTTCCATTTTTAATTTTATGCAACTTTCATTTTTATTTTTATTCAACTTCTATTTTTATTCAAGTTACTTTTCTATTCAACTTCCTTGTTTATTTAATTTCCAAATAGATCGTTAAGGTATACTAGTTTCTGGAATGAACATCCATTTTTAATTTCATGCACCTTTCATTTTTATTTTTCTTCAACTTCCATTTTTATTCAATTTACTTTTCTAATCAACTTGCTTTTTTCTTTAATTTCCAAATAGATCGTTAAGGTATTGTGGTTTATTAATTTTCTGCAACTTCCATTTTTATTTTTGTTCACCCTCCTTTTTTATTCAAGTTTCTTTTCTATTCAACTTCCATTTTTATTTAATTTCCAAATAGATCGTTAAGGTGTAGTGGTTTCTTGAATGAACTTCCATTTTTAATTTTCTGCAACTTTAATTTTAATTTTAATAAACTTCAATTCTTATTCAAGTTACTTTTCTATTCAACTTCCTTTTTTATTTACTTTCCAAATAAATCGTTAACATATAGTGGTTTCTGGAATGAACTTTCATTTTTAATTTTATGCGACTTTCATTTTTATTTTTATGCAACTTCCATTTTCATTAAATTTACATTTTTATTAACCTTCCTTTTTTATTTAATTTCCTAATAGATCGTTAAGGTATAGTGGTTTCTTGAATGAACTTCCATTTTTAATTTTCTGCCACTTCAATTTTTAATTTTATTCAACTTCCATTTTTATTCAAGTTATTTTTCTGTTTTTATTCAATTTCCTTTTCCATTCAATTTCCTTTTTTTTTTAATTTCCAAATTTTGTCCTTTGCATAGAAAGATTGTCCAATATGATTAGATGCAAAGTAGAGAAAAATCAATAGAAGGGGCTTAAAGCAGCCAGAGAGGGTCCATCTATATCCCACCTCTTCTTTGCTGATGACCTCCTCATTTTTGCTCAAGCTGACCATTCTAACTGTGAGACCATTATGGATACCATTAATGAATTATGTCTCATCTTTGGTCAACATCTCAATTTAAACAAATCAAAAATGTTCATCTCTCCAAATGTGGATCACAGGAAGGCAAAAGAGTTAAGTCAGTTTTGTGGTATTGGCCTTACACAAAACTCGGGTAAATATCTAGGAGTTTCACTCCTCCACAGTAGGGTTCAAAGGGGTATGTTTAATGACGTTTTGGAGAAAGTTCAAAAAAAACTATCCACCTGGAAAGCCAATACTCTATCCCTTACTGGTAGAACTACCCTCATCCAAGCTGTCACTTCTTTCATACCTTCTCATATCATGCAAACTAATAAGCTGCCTCAGAATGTGTGTAAGCAGCTGGATAGACTCAACAGAAATTTCCTTTGGGGAGACCAACTTCCTCAGAGGAAAGTCATCTTGTAAACTGGAGACAAGTCTGCAAGAGCAAACAAGAGGGAGGCCTTGGTATCAAAAGAGCTGAAGACCAAAATATAGCACTTCTCACTAAACTTGGATAGAAATTACTCAGTGATAAGAGCTCGCATTGGACTGCTGTCCTCTCAGGTAAGTATCTCCAGAGAGAATCATTGATGGATTGGCCTAGTAAAAGATTGGCATCTCACACATGAAGAAGCATTATCCAAACCAGGGATCTTCTTAAAAAATGTGTAAAGTGGTCAGTTGGTAATGGCAAGAATATATCCTTCTGGAATGACTGGTGGTGTGGAGAGACTACTATTGCATCTCAATGCCTAGGTACGCATACCGCTAACTGTCTGAAAGTTGCCGATGTTATCAATGATGATGGGTCATGGAACCTTGTTTCAAAACCTGAGTTCATCCTCCAATCCATCCTGTTAGATATGTCCCAAATACATTTGCCTCAGTTTGTTAAAGTTCCTGATAATCCCCATTGGAAAGGAGCTCCTACTGGTAATTTTTCTGTCAGTGCAGCCTATGATCTCTTAACCAAGTTGGATCAGGACACTGATTAAGCTAACTAACAGTGGATCTGGAAACTAAAAATCCCACACAAACTCAAAGGTTTCTGCTGGTTACTCTTTCATGAGAGGCTCTTGACCAACTAACATAGGAAAACTAGAGGCTTGACCATGGATGATAGTTGTCCCAGATATAATTCAGCTCAAGAAGATCTATGCCACCTCTTTAAAGATTGCCCTAAAGCCAAGGCTGTATGGCTAGCTATCAGAAGCCATAGATGGCTACAGATCAGTGAACATCAATCCTAGAATCAATGGCTCCAAGTCAACCTGAAATACAAGGAGAAAAAAATTTACCAAATCCCTTGGGGCATTGTATTTTTATTCACTGTATGAAAAATCTGGAAAGATAGAAACAACTTTGTCTTTAGGAATGAAAATTGTAATGTGTATGAAGCCGCAAGTTACATTCAACAACAAGCAACTGAAACCTATGATGCATTCCAATCTGATCATTTTACTGGCCAATTCATACACCTTAATTCTAAATGGGTTTTGCCTTTTGCAGGTACAATCAAACTCAACAGTGATGGATGCTCAAAGGGCAACCCTGGTCCAGCTGGGTATGGAGGCCTTTTAAGGGATGAGAGAGGAGCTTGGATACATGGCTATCATGGGCGACTGGAGGAAGCAACTGGCTTGGAAACAGAGCTTTAGGGAGTGTATAGGGGCCTTACTATCATACTAGAGAAAAGAATGAGAGACATTATTGTTGAAACTAATTCTGTGGAAGTAGTTAAACTTCTCCAAGAAGATTCTAGTCCAACGTTTCAACATAGAGCCCTCATTGAGGATGCAAAGTTCCAGATGCAGAGGTGCAAATGCCCCATCCAACACATTCTCAGAGAAGGAAACAAAGCTGTTGATGGCTTGGCTAATTTAGGGGCTAATCATCAAGACTCATTTGTTTTTTTGAATGACCCTCCTACTGAGGTTGCAAGTCTTCTTGTTGCAGACATATGAGGAACATCATCTGTGTGATCTAGGCTTCATATCTTTCCTCAGCAGCCGAAAAAAAAAAAAAAAAAAAAACTCGAACAATCCAAAATAAAAGCCGCAGGTCAGACAGTACCACAGAACAAGGAACCAGGATTCCTCTTTGAGTAAAAAAAAAAAAAAAACAAAGAACTCGAAATTCTTAATCGAAAATTAACAAGCTCTCGGAGTGACACAACTTTTCCTTCTTGTTCTGGTTGTTTCTTCAAAAAGAAAAAGGGACGAGTGTCTCGAAGCAGTGCAGGCCGTCTAATTCCGGCGCAAAGCGTGCTGCCGCCTTTCGCTGACTGGATGTCGATGGTGATACTGGTGGCGGGGGCGGCGGAGACGATGATTTGCCTTCTTTGATGTTGTTATGGCTATTTTTAGTAGTACTAATTAATTTGTGCTGAGATTGAAATATGGCCTTGTTGTTATTGTTGTTGCTACTAAATGGTATTATTGGTAAGGAAGCCTTCACAGTCTGCCCCATGAATTCAGCGCAAACCGCATCGAACGAACTGAATATCGAATTCATATCCTTTTTACAAAAATTTTATTATAATCCCTCCTCCCCCTTTGTGCTTTTAGATCGATCCACAGCAATATATATATAGAGAGAGAGAGAGAGAGAGAGAGAGAGAGAAAGAGGAGCAGAGATTTCTTAAGGGAGGTCAGGTAAGGTGGTGAGATTTTTGTGTGAGTGTGGAGGGTTGATTTTAAAAGTGAGGCCTGACCCATTATATATAGAGGTAGGGAAGGAAAGGCGGACGAGGTTGGGAATCTGTGTCCAATGGAAAAGTAGGACGAGGAGTGTTTGGATTCCAATTTCCAAGGTGTTTCATATGGGGTTTTGGTGGCTGCTGCTTCCCAAAAATGCTTAGACGCATCAAAAATTTTATTAAAAATTTTATTAAATATTTCATATGAATATAGGACCCATATAAAATTCACATGAGTTTTACACTTATATAAAACATTTAATAAAATTTTTAGTAGAATATTTAAAATTTCTAACATTACCCGTTGCTTCGAAAGCCTGTGAGGCTCCTTGCTTCCGGATTATGTCATCAAACCTTAGCCGCCCAATAACGTAGCGGCAATTTAGGAAACCAGTAAAAATTAGGCTCTTAGGGTTCTTTTGCGAAAAGCGAAAAATGCTAATTTTTGATTTTTTTTACTTATTTTGAATCACATTATTTTTTATATTTTTTATTTATAAAAAAATAAAATAGATTAAAAAAGTTAAAAAATTAATTTTTTATTAACTTCTCAAAACATTCCTTAGTGGAGTTTTTGACGGTTAATTTTATCTTTTGATTTGAGTGTTGTTTGGTTACTGATTTTATACTCACTTCTCAAAACACATTTACTCAATCATCTCTCGGACGTTTTTTCAAACTTTCAGCCGGTCGTCCGATCGATTGACCGGAACAGTGTTTGATTTTTTTTTTACTTGTTATTTTTATATTTTAATTTTGGAAATTTTTTTACGAATTTTGAATTGAATTTTAAATTATGTATTTGGTTATGAGTTGTAAATTTCTGAATCAAATATCATATGTCACATTACTTAATTCAAACTTTTTTCAAAACTCATAACCAAATAAATTTTTCACACTCAAATCATAATTTCAAAACTCACAAACTCAAAATATAACTCTATTCTTAAATCACAATTCTAAAATTCTACCAAACGCAACTTTAATTTTTATCTTTTAATTTATTTTGGATCAAATTACTTCTCATATTTTTTACATATAAAAAGATTAAAAAAATTTTTTAACCAACTTTTTAAATCACCAGTCAGCTATTATTTTTTCCTCGTAAATTGGATCATTTGAGGGGGAAAATTAATAGTTTTTAAATAATATAAATTACCTAGCGAAAATTGATGAGTAAATGAAAATTCTCAAATTGCAAATTCATTCTGTATTTTAAAAAAATTGTTTTTAATTATATATACTTTATCCATCTTAAAATAATAGTTTTTGTTTTGAGAAATTTAATTTTTTTTATAATACAATTATTACATTTTAAAAATATTAATTTTTTAAAATTACCCTTTAAAGGGTTAAGTTTGGGAAGTGAGTTAGCTTTTTGACTTTTTGACTTTTTTGACTATTTTAGCCTGGGCTAAAAAGTTTGGTTTAGGAAGGATTTTTTGACTTTTTCACTTTTTTTTAGAGAAGAGTGTAATGATTATGAGTTGGATGTGATGTTTTATTTGTTGTAACTGAAATAATCTATTTTATCTTTTGTGATTATTTTAACCACAAACCATCTTCCCAAACGATTACCTTTTAAACTTTTACTAATTGAAATGAGTACATTAACAATCTATAAATGAATCTCCCAAGAAAAGAGAGTGAGAGAACGAAGAGTTGAATGATGATAAATATGTTTAAACTCTCTCCATTTTAAAATAATATATTTTTTAGAAAATTTAACTTTTTTATTGTATAATTATTATACTTTAAAAATATTAATTTTTTTAAATTATTCTTTGATAGTACATTTTTTTGGGAATATTAATTGTCATAATTATATTTTTTGTATTGTTAATAAATTTAAAAAGATAAAATAAAAAATTTATATTATTATTAATTTATAAAAAAGAATTAATATTTTAAAATAATAAAAATAAAATAAAATAATAATATTTTAAGACGAAAAAGAATATTATTATTAGCCAGAATTAAAAGTAATAATGGGTCACCGTTAGGTGCACGTGGCCAGAGAGTCTTGAACTTTGACTTTTTTTTAAAGTAATTTTTTGATTTTTTAAGTAAAATATGATGTAAAAAAATTAAAAATATTTTTTTATTTTTTACAAAAAGATATACAAAAAACAGAAAGAAATTTTTTTTATAATTTTTTTATATAAGTTATTAATTGTACGGGGAAGAAATAATTCTCCTCGTATAATCCTGTTGACTAAGTCCACGCTCCTCCGTACGACGTCGCTTTGTCACCTGAAAACACAAACGTGAGCTAGCCGGCGGGTGTGTGCCGGAAACCTCTCCGATGCCTAAGTCAGAAAACTTGACAAATAGACAAAGCTCAATGTGTTCAGGAAGAAAAATTGTATGCTGTGTTATGTTACCTCCTCCAAGGTGATCCTTGTGAGCTTTTATAGGTTTCGTGTGGCACAATCCTAGTAGGACTTTTATTTCTCCATGCAGAGTCCTCCTAGGATTTATACTCCTAAAGGATAATGCTTCTCCTTTTACACCCCCCACTGCTTAAACCAAGTGGGATGGTTTTCACCACGGCCGAACTGCCATACGACCGAGATAAACCTGGCTATATTGAGCCACAGAGTAGGCCGTACTAACAGTAGTTCGGTTCTTCCTCTTGCTGCGCCATATCTCGGTTCTCTCATACACGAACCATGGTGTGCTTGGACTGATCTACTGAATAGCAACATTCCAACCGACCTACCTAGAATACATCATGACCGGACTATTTCTGAGACCGGCCTAACTCCAAGTTGCACGGACCGAAGTAACTCAACATCTCTTCTGGGCCGGAGTAACTTTATCACTCTTGAACCGGAGCAACTTTATCTCTCCTGGGCCGGAGTAACTTTTCGGCCTTTTTTACACAATCCTTCGTACTTTGGGCCATAAAGTCCATCTCTGTAGCTCGGCCCAATTTTTACCAAAAATTACCCTCTCAATTGCCCCTTAATTCCATCTGTACAACATGATTGGAATTACCTGTCTTCCAGTCGAACCGAAGTTTTGTAAGTATTTCCAGCCGAACTAAAATTTCCTTTAGCCTCTCGACCGAACTTATCTTACTCCGGGCTCTGCTTGCCTGACCGAAACGTCTCTTCAATCATAGTGACTGTAACGCTTCCCATTCTATTCACACGTGGCACGCTCTGATTGACTGAGGACGGCTGTCACGCCGTCTTTCGTACTTCGCGAATTTTGAACAGTCCCGCCAAAATTTTGGGTTTTCTAACAAAAACAATCCCTGAGGCTAGGTCCCTTCACTTTTGCCATTCACTT